GGGGGGGGGGGGGAGTCTCAGAAACATCTCTTTTGCCAACATGGAAAACAAGTAGGTGGATCAGAAGGGGGTTTGGTTTAATCCAGCATGCGGTTCTTTGCAAGGCATTTGCAAAATTAAAATCTTTCCAAAATAATATGTCCTCTCGGCATCAGCCTTTTAGTAAAACGAATCCCATCCCAGCAAGGTTTGCTTACGAGACATGAAAAGGGCCACACAGAGACAAGATAGACACCGCATTGCTCTTACCTGCCCCAGTGAACTCCCAGATTTTGCCCAATCGACATTAGAAGGGTGGCAGGTCCATGATCCCAAATGCATTGATGGGCCCAGGACTCAGCTGATCTCTCCAGCTCATCGTCCCACCTCTACATGAAAGAAAGGAGAAATAACACACAATTCATGGGATGTGAGAAACAGAGCAACCTTAGCTACGTAGATGCTCCAGTCACAATCAAGCCTCCAGGCAAGACCTACGAAAGTGAAACTGCCAGTGTAGAGCATCAACAAGTCTTCTATAGCGTTGGTTCCCAATCTTGGGTCCCCAGGTGTTCTTAGACTACAACCCCCAGAAATCCCGGCCAACACAAGAACATCTGGCGACCAGAGGCTGGGAACCACTGTTCCATAGCATATGTGAATTTCAGTCAAGAAGGTAATGCTGACAGTGCAATTTCCAACAAAGCATCCACGATCAAAGTTTGAATTTTGTACATCAACTGAAATGCACAGAAGTCACTCTTACAAATGTGCAGAATCTGCCAAGACTCAACAAACCAACTCTCCTCATTTTGCAGTGGGGGAAAATGCTCACTCTGGCTCAACTCCAAAGCCGGAATGAAACAAGTTAGGTTACATCCCTCAGTCTCGTTGATCTCATAACAAACAGATTCCAGGTGAAAGGATAGCTTTTAATAGTCAATTCCCAGCTTCCTTTCCTGTTGATAAATCCATGTCCTTAAATCGATTCCTCTCCATTATATGTCAATGCAGCAGAAGGCAGCCAAAGCAACAATTGAATTATATGAATCAAATTGCTCAGCTTTTGCTTCCTCCTACTGTATTGACTACCATCCAGTGATGGAACAATTAACACCCACTGGAAGTCCAAGTCTCTGAATTATGAAGTGGTATGGGGGCCTATTTTATTTGTTGGCCAGTAATGTTGTGGAGAATGTGCCCCTCTCACATCTGGCCCGAGAGGGAAGGCTGCCAAATCGCAAATTACAAAATTAACTTCCTATTCATCTTATAGAACGTGGCAAGCTCGCAACTCTCCCAACATGATAAACATGGCAGCGAATTCTGGACGGACTTTGTTTTGACCAGGCGCAAATGACAGCTGCGGAGTCAGATCAGTTCAGCACTTCAGTAAAAGCCTTGCCAAGAAAGGAGTCTCTGTTTAGTGGAGCATAATTATTCCGTTGTTTTCCTTCTGAAAACAATTTCACTCATTTCATTTTAAACACATTTCTGTTTTCGTCTGTTTGGTTTTCATTTGTCATTAGTTCATTCATTTCCTTCCTTCTCTTCATTTCATTTCAGTGCTCCTGTCTGCAAGTAATTCTTGCTCGTCTTTTCTTGCTGGAGTTTGGATGAAATAATGCCGATATGGACTTTGGATGTAACAGTTTTAACATGGATGTGTTGATAGCTCGTTGTTCTTCAGCCCATGGCTGAAATCCTATTGCTTACCATAGCAAGTCACACTACAGTAAGCCCATTGAATCAGGGGGGGTTGGTGAGTCACTTCCTCCATAGGTTCCATGGATTCAGATGGGCCTACTCTAGTCTTGTGACTTGCTACACTAAAGTAAGTACAACCAGAGTAGGCCCATTTGGATCAATGGAATTTACAGAAGAGTTGATTCACCGAATCCCCACTGATTCAACGGACGTACTCTAGTGCGTAGGTCCAAAAAGACTATGCAACAGAATTTCAGCCATTTTTCTCATCCCTGCACTTCTTCTCCCCTGAATGATCAGCTGTAAAAGCCAGTAATACTTTTCATTTCACATTAAATAGCGGACGTATCCTAGTTTTGTGCATTTTATGAGTTCTGTAATTCCTGGGTCTTTATTTGTTCGCTTTAATTCTTCTTTGGTGACCACCCTCAAGCCAAGAAATTCTAGCATCCTGGGTTAAAGCCACGTCTCAAAGGCTGCTCCATTTTTATAATTAATAGTTGCCTGTGTCAAAAGCCAAGATTTCCATGCTCTCCTGCAGAACTGAGGAGCAGTTTGGATGTAACCCCATGTTTAGGGTTGCCACATCAGCATTGACATTCAGCATCTTCCAGTGGCTAATCTGGTTAAGGAACGCTGGACATTGTAGTCAAAGCAAGCAATACAGCATTCCAGATTAGCCATTGGAGGATGCTGGATGTTGTAGTAATCCAAATAAGTTGTTTTTCTCCCAAGCTGACTCACGCCAGAGTAAGGTAGCAGCGTGTCTGGCAGCTGTGAGGGCTGTCCAGGTCATCTAAGTCCACACTTAACTTGGGTGGTGTGGCTTTTCATTGCCAACGCATGGCATAAGGAAAGAGAGAGGGAGAGGGCAAAACCAAGCCAAGAACTCTCAAAACTGACTTCAAATTAGCACTGACTGGAGTTGGAAATGTTTGCTCCAAGACGTGCAGACCATCAAATCATTTGCTCAGTCCTCTCCCAAGAGGGGCCCCTTGTCTTAAAAGCACCCAAGGTCCACCAGAGAGGGCGGGTGGGTGGTTCACACACGCCATTACAGTAAAAATAAACAAATAGGAAAACAACAAAGGACTTCAAAGTGCTGCTTGTATTCTGAAGTTCTGCATGAAGATTTCCAAACCCTATTAGGTAAATAGGATCCGATGAAAGGCAGATTATGAGCCAGTCCCAGGAGAGCCGTTTGGGGGCTGGCCTTCCAAGCAGGATCTGTGAGGTTCTTTGCCCACGGCTCCCAGAAAAAGGAAAAAGGAAAACACACATGAGACAAACGCATTGAGCAAAGCCAAACATGAGGTAGCAAGTAAATAGACATTGGCCTGTACAGTCTTACGGCCGTAGGAGTGAGCTGAGAGGACCCAAAATGCCAAGGAAAACATGGTCAGCTTCCTCGCTTAACTTTGTGTTGACTTTCAGAGAGGTGGCAGGCCCGCTCCCTCCCTCGTATGGCTCAGGACAGCTTCTCAGCTCAATTAAATAATTGTGGGTCCTGAATAGGTTTGCAGCTGGCCTCTACGGACAGGATCAGCCCCGTGTCATGCACTTGCAGTAAGGACACACTGACGGCATATTTCACAAACCATTTGACATCCTTCTTGCAGTCAATGCTGAGATTTATTTTTTTTTTAAAAAGGCAATGAATTCAAAAGCCAGAATTTAGTGTATGGGGGGGTGGGGAGTACTGTGGTGCTCCAACTGTCCTTGGACTACAAGTCCCATCATCCTTCACCATCAGTGCTGACAACGGTTAATGGGATATGTAAACCAACAACAAGTTTTGGAAGGGTTGCACTGAAGATTTCAGTGGAAATGATTTGGGGGGAGGGGAAGCAGTGTTTTGGAGGAGGTAAATAAGTCTTCCCCAAATCTACCACTGCTTGCCTCTTTCATTCTGCTTGAAGACTCTTTGTTGTTTTAGCATTTTAAAGAAAAAAACAGACAGAACATTTCTCGCCCCTCCCCGCAAAAGGGATCTGGGTCATGACACAACAATAATATTACTATGGCCCATCAGATTTGAAAAATAATGGCAGTCCTTCAAAGTCAATTCAGAGTGCCAGCATTCCTCTTTTTTTTTTGCCCTCGCTCTGAACAGTCTCCCTTGCCAAAAGCCGCAGCACTGCATGCTGTGCAGGAAAGACTGAGCCCAAGGCTTCCTGCTTCATTTTTTTCTCTTGTTTTTGTTTCACTTCTGCTTTTCTCTGACTTTTTACTTTGTTTTGCCTTGACATTGCAATGCTATACTGTTTAGCTTAGTTTGTCTCAACATTTTTGGTTGGCTTTTTTTTTTTCAGAAGGCTGCTGCAACAGATTTTCTGCCTTTCCTCTGAACAATAGCTTGGGAGACCTTTGTAAAGCAAAGCCCCAAAGAATTTCCACCTAAAGAACTAAAGGAGATTCGGTCTCCCTTTTAGCATTTATCAACTCTGGAACCTGGAGTGAGTCAGCCTGGGAACCTTAAGCTGAGTTGATTGTATGGGACAGTGAGAGTGACCCAAAAATGGTAAATGTGGCTTTCAAGAATACCTCCTTCTCTTTCTTTACAATTAGCAAAAGCAGAATCATTTGTGCAAAATTGCCAACTACATTCAAATGATCATAGTTATTCCAAGGAACTACTGCTCAGCAGAATTGTTTATACTTTGCATTCAGAAGATTCCAGCTTTAATTTTGCATCAGGTAGCCAATTCTCCATCCCTGAAACATTTTTACAAGAGTCAATGCCCAGGATGAAAAGATCAAGCAGTTACATTCCATATGAGACCGTTTCATGGCAGGGAAAGTAAAAGTGACTTTTTAAGAACTACCATACAGAGAATTTCACAGCCGGCATAGGTGCTGCTCATGTCTGCTGACTGATTCTGAAGGTTTACAGTTGAGTTGGATGATTCTTGGTGTCCTCTTTCTTAAAAGCAGCTTTTCCAAGTCTTCCCATATATATGTAGCAACTGCGTAGTTTCTAGAGCCTTGTGGCACAGAAGTTAAATTGCAGTATTGCAATAAAGACTGTGCTCTAGAGCAGTGGTCCCCAACCTTGTTATGAATGGTGCTAGCCTGTAGAGTGATGGCAGTTTGATAGCACTTTAGCTGCCAGGGCCCTGTGCTAAAGAATGCTGGGATTTGAAGTTTGTTGATGTCAATACGATTATGGGCTGTAGTTCAGGAGCCCAAAGTTCTCCAGCACGAATCCTAAGCCCCAGGATTATGTAGGATGCAGTCAGGATGGTTAAAGTGCTATCAAGCTGCAATAACTGGGTAGTGTAGATGCACTCCAACATCCATACAGTTATTCTAGGGTTTAGAGATTAAGAATGTTGTAATATTTCCACCCTTATAATGACATCTATGACCGAGGTCCCCAAAACATGCTTGTTTCTGCATAATTAAATTGTAAACTGCCCAGAGAATGCTTTAACAGCTATGAGACAGTATTTGAGCACCACACTTTGCTTCTTTTGGAATGTATCTCTGCTTTCTTCTCTGTGCTCAGAATGGACCTAGCATCAAATTAGGTATTCTGTCTTCAAATGACACATCCGCATGCCTTTGTTACAGTCTTGCTCAAGTTAGCTTCTGATTAGCTTTAAATCATGTTTGTTGATCTGTGGAAAACTGGCCCTAAGTCAGTAGAACGTTCCTCTAAAAGTCTCAAGATTTCCACATAAATATTTTTTTTTAAAAAAAAATAGCAGGGATAACAAATGCTTACTTCTCAGATAGGATTTATACATCTTCCTCTCATTGACAATACCAGAAGACAGATTGGAAAGCACCAAGAATGAGATAAATGTGTTTACTTTTCCTCTTTGTTACCTCCGCTTCCTAAAAAGTAAGAGGTTTGTCATAGAATAATGGGGTTATAAGAGGCCTGTAAGGCCATCAAATCCAGCTCCCTGCTCAGGGCAGGAATTCAAATCAAAGTAGGTCTTACAGACAGTTGCTCAATTTTCTCTTGAATGCTTCCAGTATTGGAGTGCTCACCACCTCCCGAGGTAATTGAGTCGATTGTTGTATAATAATTTGTATTATTATGTACCTGACAGTGCTTTTACTTTCTGATTTTATACTGGAAGCCGCCTAGAGTGGACTGTTGGTCCAGATAGGCAGGATAAAAATCAAATAAATAAATAAATAAATAAAATACTGCTCTAACAGTTAAGAAGTGTTTTTTTCTGATTTTCAGCCAAAATCTGGAGCCCGTTTATTACATATCTTGCGTTCTGGGATGACCAAGAACAAATCTTGTCCTTCCTCTTAATGGCTACCTTTCAAATATTTGAAAAGTGCTATCATATCTCTGCTCAGTCTTCCTCTCTCAAAGCTAAACATGCCCAATTCTTTCAGTCTTTCTTCATGGGGCTAGTTTTCCAGTCCCCTGATCATCCTTGTTGTCCTCCTGCTTGTTGGCATCCTTCTTAAAGTCCTTCTTAAAGTGCGGGGTCCAGAAATGGACACAGTACTCTAGATGAAGCTTAACCAGTGCTGAATAGAGGGGAACCTTACAGGATTTGGAAACTATGATATATTTCTGTTAATGCATCACAAAATAGCTGTCCAAATGGTTCTCAGCCGTTGAACTTTCAGATGTCCCACTCCCAGCGCCCTTGACCACTGGCCATGCTGGTTAGGGTCTGGGAACTAAACATCTGGATGAGTAAACATTGGGGACCACATATGTACACCATACTGGCTTTTGTTTATGTTTAGGGATCCTATGCACAGCTCAAGCACTGACCACCTACTTTTACCTCATCTCTGTGTGCAGAGGAATCTAGGACCAAACACAACCCCTCATCTGCACAGCCCCGCCGTTGGCTTTCATGCCTGGGCTATTTGAGCTGCACACAGAATGCTGGGAATAGGTTCTTACAGTAAAGAGATGTTGAGCAAATAATTCAGCTACGCAAAGGCCAGTCCAGGGCTGACCTGACCTACTAACAGCTCTTTTCCAGCTGCCATGACTCAGGGAAATGCAATTTGAGCTGAAGTGGCTTCAGGAAACCATATAAACGAACAGGTCCTTGTCCTGGAATTTGTTACTGGCATATGGTTTTGAGGGAGAACAAAGGGAAGGCCATGTCTAAGGGATGTACAAATGGAGGCCACCATGGTCTGCCCGCCCTGGAAGACCTCACCCTCCATGGCAGTCCCAAGGAGGTCCTTCTCTTCTTATATTAAGTAAAACCGGAGCTTGGAAAAGTTACTTTAGGGACACCAATTCCCAGAATACCTCCACCGGCTATGGAATTGAGGGAGTTCTAGTCCAAAAGAATGAACTTACCAGGTCCTGGTGGCGGGACTTCATTGCCATCATTTCGGCTACATACTCAGCACTCAGAGAATACATGGCATACAAAGGTGTGCAGATTTGGGGGTGTGCAGTTGTTGTTGTTTTACTACAGCTCTCAGAATCCAGCGGTTTCTGTAGCCCAAGAAAACACCTGTCTGCATACCTCTGATTACATGTATCTCAGGATACTGGTATGTGATGTGATGGGGGGGGGATTTTTCCCAGCAGTAATTGCACCACCTATTTCCCCTTTGCTGGTATGTCTCTCATGTGAACAGATACACACTAGCTGCAAAATGATTTGCACTTTTGGTCAACCTATAGATACCCTATTAAGCGGGGAAAGGGAACTGCATGAATGATTGTTGTTCGATGCACATCATTCTGCAACAAGAGGTTGGCCAGTGTGTTTATTGTCTACCTTCTACCTCCTTCGTAAGATGAACTAAAACCAGAGTGGTCATACAGGGTGAATAATCATGGGAGCTAAAGGCCAAAAATGTAACTCTGTGTAATGCTGACATCCTTGTCGGTCTCCATTCTTTTCCTCTGGAAAGGTAATCCATTGTCCATTCATTTTTGAAAAGACGATTCCATGATAATAATAGACATAGAACTGCAGAGCTAAGAAGGGACCCTATGGATCATCATGTCCACCCCCTATGAAGGAGGTTCAGTGAGGGAATCGAACCCCCAACCTCTGACTCCGCAGCCAGATGCCTCAACCACTGAGCTAATCAGCAGTTAAGGTCAACCAATATTGCTGGAAAACAGTTGCACTGCTGTATATTTAATCATCATCATCATCTTAGAACTGTGGAGTTGGAAGGGAACCTATGGATCATCAAGTCCAGCTCCTGTCAAGGAGGAACGGTGGGGATTTGAACTCCCTACCTTTGGCTCCCCAGCCAGGAACTTAAACAACTGAGCTATCTAGCAGTTAAGAAAAAAAAGACAGCTATTGCTAACTTAAGCAAAAGACAGCAAGTGCTGCACAGAAAGGATATGAATCCATCTAAGAGAGATGTCAAGTGTTAGACATCTGGATCCAAAATGCTTCCAAGTGCAATATGCACTTATTTAGAAATTTCAAGGGCTGAATGTGGAAAATACAGGCACAGATGTGTATTCGGATGCATAACTCAACAGACAAGATAATAGAAATGGAGTCCAAGCTAAACTTTGCTCTGCATTTTGAACTCACCATGTATTCCATGTTGGAGGCTGAGGGGTAGACTTGGCCCCTCAGTTTATTATGGAGCATCAGGATCTCTTCTTTGTCTGAGTGGGAAATGGCTCTCTTTGTCCTTGAATGGGGTTGCTCGTCCCGGTATTTGCTGAGGATGTTTTCCAAATCGGTGGTGTTGGGCAAGAAGAAGCCATGGATTTCCTGGACAAGGAAAAGCAGACCAAAGGGTATGGCCATCCAAGTTGGACTGGGGTTTCTAGCCATCCTCTGCTTCATAGAAACACAACAAGAGAAGACAGGGATCGCCAAGGCTCTTCTTATGGTTGGTTATACGGATCTAGAACAGAGAAGGAAGAAAAGAGGAAATTTAATTGTTGTAAATCCAAGACAAAGCAAACTCTGAAGGTCGGCCATGTTGATTTCTGTGAACTCAAGTCCAACAACTTCTGGAGAACCAAAGTTCAGAGTCACCAATCTAACCTAAAAACAAGATTCTTCAAGAGAACTCATTTTCCACCACTAAACAATATCAAAAGCTGTCTGCTGTTTCCTTTTTTTATTATTATTGTTACATTTCAAAACCATTTAGCACCCCATCTGCTAGAACCCACAATGGAGCTCCAACCATCATGTTCAGGTCACTTCAGAAGTAATTACCATATTTTTTTTCATGTATAAGACGTCCCCATGTATAAGAAACCCCCACTTTTCTAACCCAAAATTAAGAAATCTAAGTGGGGCTTAGCAAGTGTAGGGGGAAAGGTCAAAGCACTGCAGGATCATTTTGATCCCTGCTTTCTCCCTTTGTGATAAGCCCCGCAGGACTTAGCAAAAGGAGGTGGAAAGGGATCAAAGCAATCCCATGACTGCTTGATCATTTTGATCCCTTTCCCCCTTATACAGCCATGGGTTTGCTTTGATCCTTCCTCCCTCCTTTTGCTAAGCCCCATGGGACTTAGTAAGCAGAGGGGAAAGCAAGGATCAAAGCCATCCTGCAGCACTTTGATCCCTGCTTTCCTTTTGCTAAGGCTTAGCAAGTGGAGGGGAAAACAGGGATCAAAGCCCTGCAGGACCACTTTGATCCCTGCTTTCCCCTCCACTTGTTTTTGTTCTTTCCTCAGCTTACTTCCATGTATAAGACGACCCTCAAATTTTAGTCTAAAGATTTTAGACAAAAGTATAGTCTTATACATGGAAAAAACATGGTAATCCTCCAGGAAGGAATCCAAGATGTGACTCTTTCCCTCCCTGATATCACACCTTCCAGAAACTAGGGTAAAGCTGGTAGAGGCATGAATTTCATTCTGGATTCCTCTTAAGTGATTTGAAATTCTTTTTCTTAAAAAAGAATAGGAAATAAAAATGGAGACAGATGCCCATGCCTGAGCTCTAGCCCACCATAAAAGGCAGAAAAGCCAAAGCCCCTACTCTTACTAAGGTCATCAAGAACCCCTGTTGGAGAAGAACCCCATCCTATCTGAAGGAAGCAGCAGGCATTTTTACAGAGCCAAGTTGCTGAAGTCAGCCATGAGAGATGAGCTGTTTCTGCCTGGCAGAAAACACAAACCAAACTCCCTGCCAACTACAGGAATCTGTACGAGGTTTATATGAAGTGTCACCAGAAATATCGGAGCAGTTGGAACAAGTGCTATTTATATGCTGGCTTGCTGGGGAAAGAGGTAAGGATAGATATGCACTGGATCGAGGATGGAGGATGCTAGGGACAGCTAGAAAAATATTCAAAAGCTCTTTTCGGTGGGCAGGCAAGAAGAACAAGACCTTCTTCATAGTGGCACTTGGTTGGAGGAACTCTGTTAAAAATGATCTCCACCAGCCCTTATTATTATGGGATCTCCAGGAGATCCTAAAGACTTCCTTGCTTGCCTTGGCCAACACTTGTTGTTGAGAACCAGTGCAATGCGGTGGGTAGAGTGCTGGACTAGGACTCACAAAACCTGGGTTCAAATTGCCATTCGGCCATGGAAACTCACTGGGGGGAGGGGTAGCACTGATGCAATCATTCCTTAGATGTCTCCAAAAAAAGACTTGGATTGCCAGAAGTAGTTTGATGGCACATGGTAACCATGCCAGTGGTGAAGCCAGGACTTCATCCGGTGCCACTGCAAAAAAGGCACTCTCAGGTTTTAACCTTCCTGGCCAGAATCCTCTTGCATAGGTACACTGGTGGAAGAGAAATGGCATAATTCACAGTGGTAAATTGCTGCTAATTCAGGGGTCCCCTCTTGGGTTTCTCATCAAAGGCCAGTCAGGCTGCTTGGTGCATAACCAGGAGGAATCCAGGCAGTGTCTCATTAATTAGCACCATTTCCTTCCGGTAGTGTAATAGCACAAGACAATTATGGCCAACGTTGCTTTCACCATTGTTTTTATCACTGTATAGTGATTTCAGGTGTTGATGCATACTGCACAGTTTGTTAGGGTTCATAAAATATGAGAAAAAGTTCAACTTAAATGTAGGTGGACATGTGGGGGGTGGTGACATAATCAGAGTTGGAGCAGAGTTATTTTTGGACTGCAATGGCCAGAATCCCCAACTAGCATAGTAGCTGGCCGGGGGTGGGGGTTACTGGGAAATGTGGTCCCAGTTCTATAAAAACCAGCTTTTCTAAACTTTCTCTTGAATCTCATGGATTTCCAACCAGCTCCATAATCTAGGCAGGGCTCCACCATATTTGAGGCAAAGCATTAGAAGAAACATGTTCTCCTAAGCTGCGCGCTTCTGCTGAAAGATGAATGTTTGGGAGAAGGTGAGGAGAAGGAAAAACAGAGGGATTTACTGTATTTTTCTGTGTATAAGACTATATTTTTGTCTAAAATCTTTAGACTAAAATTTGAGGGTCATCTTATACACGGAAGTAAGCTGAGGAGAAAAAACCAAGTGGAGGGGAGAGCAGGGATCAAAGTGATCCTGCAGGGCTTTGATCCTTGCTTTCCCCTCCACTTGCTAAGCCCCACTTAGATTTTTTAATTTTGGGTTAGAAAAGTGGGGGGCGTCTTATATATGGAAAATACAATACTTTTCTTTTTTTCTTTTCTTCCCCCCCCCTGCAGTGGGAATCTCTTTGAAGGAAGCCCCCTTCAGAGAGCCCCCCCCACAGTTTTCTAAACTGTGTGGGGCACTCGGAAATATCTCCTCCATTCATCCAACTTTATAGACCGCAACCCTCCTTCCTCCTCTCCCACCAAAGTATGCTCCCATTAGCTGCCTCGACCATGACATCAGAGTCTGGGGCAGAAATATTGTTTTAACCTCATTCTCTTGATCCTGGGCTCCCTTCCCTGCCTTTCTCTCCTACTCACGGTCCTCCCCCCCCCACAAAAAAAACCCGGCTGTAACCTTCTGTCAGAGCAGGAGGATGGCTTGGTTTGGCTAACCTCAAGCTGTTACTTTGGTAGACAGTCTGACCCACTTGAGGGGAACAATTCAGACTTTCAGAGGCTTCTCCGAGGGGGTTTATAAATAGATGCTCTGCTGCAGAGTAACCACAATGATGCCTTTAAGCTTGAGCCGTTTTCCAAACCGGGGCCTGCTTTTTAGGTACAGAGCTCATGGAAGCAGACAGTTAACATTATGTGTTTCCCACTCCAAGCTACCCATAGAATCTTGACCCACTTTTGCCAATGGGGGCCAGATCTCGGAGCCCTCTTTGGAACAGGAACATGACAGAGGGATCAATGTGCTAACTTGGAGATGCTCGCCATCATACTTGGCACAGAGAAGGCAACCAACGTCAGGGATAGGGACTCACAAGTCACAGGACTCACCATCAAGTCAGACTTAAGTCACACCCGTGACTCTCCTCAGACTTGACACAGGTTGCTTTCCCCCCCCCCCAATGACTTGGACTCAGCTGAAGACGTGGAACCCACCCACCTCCTCCCTTCTCCTGGGGGGGGGGAAGCTTGTTTTTCTTAGGAATGCAGACTTGGGGCTTGGAACTCGGGACTTGGGATCCCAACCCAAAGATTTGGCAACATCCCTGGCAAACATATGCATAGAAATTGAGCATAGATCAAGGTTGATCTGTCAGAGGTCAGCCCCATGCTTCATAGGATTGCCAGATGTACGAGCGGCAATTATAATTCCAGGGAATTGTTATGCTTCCATGGGTCTCTAGATGGCGAGATAGATCTCATTGTGCCAGAGGACCGGAAGGTTTGATTTGTGTGTGTGTGTGTGTGTGTGTGTGTGGTGAACCTAACACCCAATTGCCTCCTCTCTGACTATTCCTTGCTGGCATCTGAGCTCACTGGCTCAGCGCAAAAGTCTTTGCATATGTGTTTTGTACATAGTATTGGTTCCTGCCAGGAATGGACATCTGTCCAAGGTCCATAAGTGATGGATCATGGAGGGATCCATCTTGTCCTGTGCCATGCATTCACTGGATTTTTTTCCTTTTAAAAAGGCTCCTTTTTTACTGCTTATGCCCTCTGGTGGCCAAAAAAATATTTTCTAAATGTCCAAAGCATTTGCAGAAAAGGAGAGTGGGGGTGTGGAGAAGGTCAAGCCATGACAATATTGCCTCTAGTGCCCCCTACAGGGAACTTCTGGAGCTATTTTCTTTTTTGAAAAAAAAACTTTGGGGGTGTTAGTTGGAGCCCACATTTGGGTGGGTAGGGTTGCGTGTTCCCCAGAAATCTGTCCGCCCTTGGTTTATGAGAAGGTAATGTATGTAATGACCCTTCCTCAAATTCAGGACTTCCAACTCTTCGCACCTTCAGTTAAAAGAACTCAGGACTCATTGTTGACTGAGTCCTAAGAAAATGGTTAAGAGCACATCTTGGAGAAGTTACTCTTTTTTTTGGCCTATAAATCCCATGCCCCATCAAGCCCAATGGCCAAGCTGGCCGGAAGATTCTGAAAGCTACAGTTCAAAAGTAACTTTTCCTTGGCCTGATTTGGCATGAAGTGCATTTCATGGCTTGGAAAAGTTACTTTGGTGGATGACAGATCCCAGAATCCCCCTGCCAACATAGCCACTTTTCCCAGCCTCTGCTTCTTTCCAGGTGATGACATCTGCCACATGGGCCGGCTCATAGAGACTTCCACCTGGGAATCATAATGCATCAAACTGGTCCCAGGGAGCTGATTAAAAGAACTTAGCCAGACAACCATCCTTCTGCTTGCAAGTCCATCAGTGACTTGCAATTTCCTGTGTGAATATTCATGAAGTGTCTCGCTGAATGGAGAAATCATTTCAACAAGACCACAATATTTTTTTAAAAAAAAATCAGGAGAAGAAGAGATATAAACATGGAGGCTAGCCAACACATCCACAAGCTTCATTTCTTACTCTCATCCAGTATTCTGTCACA